AAAACAATTAATTGGATCAATGGGAGACATGGACGGTACGTCTGTTTTTTTTCCTATTCACGTCCACCACGTCCACGTTCACAAATAAATATGACCGATTGTGGCCTAGAAAGATATATTGTATTTTAATGGGAAAGCGTCGGCAAATGCCGATGTTCACCTCACCGAAAGTCGCTACCAGGCATTATTCTATTTTAAACCTCTGCGTTAGTGGGTGGCGATTTCCATGCGAGTTCGCGCATTTTAATAGCTCTTCAAAAAGATAGACTCCAACGATTGCATTGTTCGTTTATGACACATTTTATGATACATTTTACAACGCAATAAGAGATTTTCCTTCCGTTCTTGTTGGTTGGACCAGAAATTCATAATTGAACGCACTCATTCTTGTTTTACGACATTTTAAATTTTGTTTACAACATTTTTTTTAAAATCAGTGTTTTCAAGTAACCTGTTCTGTTCGTGGTTTGGGTTTCCGGGGTGTTATAAATGTAATTCTTCGAAACAAATTGAAGATGTTCACGCGCCATTTGTTTTTTAAATTCTTCTTATTTGTTTTAATGACATTGATTGCATCGATTATTACCTTTTCCAAAAAAGAAAAAATTGGAAAAAAAAATGTTACCCTCGACCCTCGACATGGTACCCTCGCCCTCGACATGGAACCCTCGACCCTAGACCCTCGACAAAAAGATAGACTCCTTACCTAATTATAATCCCCACAAATATTCCATGAATGCGCCGTTCAACGGCGCTTTCGCATTAAAATCGACGCTCTAGCTTGTTATGATTTAAGCGAAAACTTCGATTTCTCCATTTTTTCGCAATTTCTGGAGAAATCGGAGAAATTGCAGAAATCGCAGTTTTTGCTGGACACCCTTGTACCTCCTTTACCACTTGAATTTAGTAATTTTAGCAAAAAAACTGCGATTTCTCCAGTTTTTTCCCAATTTTTGCTACTGCGTGCAAACTTGGACATATCTCTTATCTGTAACAAATATTTTAGGCATTAGGAGCTTGGTCACCGGCTCCTATATGTAGCATTAGGACTAAAAGACGGTTATGCCTGACGTAGGCCTTGTACAAGGAAGTAACAGTTTAATTCTGTAATTTAACCATATGGCTTTTCCAGCACAAGAGGATTAGCACAATAATACTGTTACTTATAAGATTTAAAATTGGCAATGATAAAAAAAAACGACTTTAAAATACGTGTTACCCACAACTGTTTGTTTTTTACTGATTTGTACTGGAGCCATAATCGGAGTAGAAATCGCACGCGCTGGGTCCACGCGGTTCCATGGCTAATTGCGCTATTTTTTACGAAGAATTGAGCCACTCTCAACGTTCATAACTCGCGCGGGGACCCGCAAATTTGACAGGCTCCCGCATGGAGTTTCAGGAGATGGGCGATCTTCTTGTAACTTTTCTTAAGTGATCTTTAAACTTTCCAAGTGCTTCATATCTGATATGTAATATACACCTATGTCATATCTATTATTATATATATATTATCCGTACTTTTCCATCCACATAAGAAGAGAAATCCACAACAACTTTGCTACGCTTCAAGCGTTGCTTTTCTTATTTAAACAAAAACACTTCTATTTATTTTAACTATCTCCTCGCAGCTCATTTGAGCTGTATTATCTAAGAATTTCCTTCGTTATTTCTTAAGTTTTTCGTGATATCGAAAACTAACGAAAAACGGCAATACCTTAGATAGAAATATGTACACGTGTACACGATGTATCTCTTGACGTGGCTTAAAAAATCATGAAGAGGAATAAAAGGAATAAAATATTTATGCACGGTATTATACTCAGAAATGGAATGACTGTGTAGTTGTTTGTAGGCTCGTCTCTTTCTTCAGTGCCAGTAAAAAAGCTTCATCAACTAATTGTATTTGCCATTATTTTTTGTCGCTGGTGGCGGTAATTTTCCACCCTCCTTTCCCTGATTTTTTTTTTTCACCCGGACGGGATATTCTTTGGACGACATCTCCGACATCTCTTCGTCATTAGATTTATCAAAAGCATTTTTACTACAATGTTTACAATAACCGGAATCACGTCCATAATCATTACATTTATAATCAGTTTCAAGAAGGGACAATGACGACAAAAGGGAATTTATTCATGTCCCTTAAAGGTAATTTTCGATGCCAGTTTGTGTATTCTTTGCACGGCGTTCTAGCAAAAATTATATTGCGCTCGTGTGTCACAGGTGATGGCGCAATTTGTATTAAAAATGGCACATTTGAGTATTTTGATAGCCTACGAACAGCAGACGCATTTCCGGTCGTCGCTTCTCTCCCTTTCGGAGGGAGAGAAGCGACGACCGGAAATGCGTCTGCTGTTCGCAGGCTAGTATTTTGATGGAACCAACCCTATTACTGGAAAAGGAGTCAGCTACAGTGTCCTACACCGCTTTCGGGTGATGTTCGTATCTTAGTGTTGCTTGTATGCTAGCCGTCTAGGTTACTCGTACGGAATCGTATGTATACGTGGTTGAACAAGCGTAGCGTTTTCGTCTTGAACATTAGCAACAAACAGAGAAAAAAACTTACAACCCTCTTAGTTCAGATAGATCGGAAAAGATCCCAGGTGGAAGCTGCTCAATTTTGTTGTTGGAGAGCGACCTGCAAGAATGAGTTAGCATATCTTCATGACACAAATAATTCATGAGATAAAATAGCCTCATCAAAATCCATTCTAAATCTGGGTTCAATTTAATAAAACATTTAATTTACAAATGTAGCCATTGTTTTAGAGTCTGAAAACAGTAGCTACACTTGTAAATTACACTATTCGTTTTAGACGTTTTATCAAATTGACCTCTGGTCATCGCTTACAGCTGACCTCTGTTTGTACTGGTAACATGGTCACACTGGTCATTAAAGAAAACTAAATTAATGATGCTCTATATACTATTTTGCATGCACCTACTAGTACTACTTTCTCGCCCTCTGGTAAGCTACAATCTCAAACAAAAACCTTGAAACACTTTGGAAAATTCTGCTTCCTTGGTTTACCCCTCCTCCTCCCTTTTGCAATAATATTGTAGCCACGTAACATTGTAATCACATCTCAACATTGCAGAGGTGTTTGAGGGACTTTTGGCGAGGATTGTAGGTACGTTATAATTTTAGTATAACATAATGCATGACTGACAATTAAAAGATACATAATTATCAAAAACGACAAAAATAGTATCGTTCGTTAACACAATTTATTTAATGTGAAGTTTTCTTTGCCACAATGCCTGTATAGGATATACTGGCAATAACATGTCATTAATTAACAACAAGAGGTTTGATTTTTGTAACAATCTTTTAATAGGGCAAGACGCAAGTGTCCATTGTCCGCATCATTAAGTCTGTTAGGTTTAGAGAAAATGTGAGGTCTTTACCCGCGGGGACAAGGGAAAATGTCAATAATAATTAACAAGGTGTCCGTGTCAAGTAGCTGCCCGTAAAGAGTGGTTCAAGAAACGAACGGTAACTGGAAAAGATCGAGGCTATCGCATTGTGGAAGCCTTTGTTAAAATTTAAATTCTAACAAACGAGCCAATATTCCACTTTGGCGACCGGAGACTTGCGAATTTAGAAAACAATGTATTTTGTAGTCAGTCAATCAACCATCGGAGGTTCATGTGCCTATGTTCAAACCTATGTCCCTTATAAGGGTTTCACTGCAAGCTTCTCTCTCGACCCACATAAATAGTGCTATGTACTCACAAAAGAGTTGTGTGGTATAAGACTGGCTGATTTTGCGAAAACGAAGCTGTTCTGGATTTCACTCATGAAAGTTGGCGCCTCTGTATTGCTATCTAAGCTACGATAGCATTTTACACAGGAAAATTAAGCATTGACGCAAAGATTACGAGCGTATTTACCCCAGATTTTTGAAAAACGCAAGAAAGAATTACATAAAAATCCACGCGAAAATTGCTGCTAGCCACGCAAGCTAAGCGAAGCAATGCTTCTGGAAAACGTTCACTAATTGACATTTGGTGTCTCTTGTGACTTAAAAGGTGGCATAAAGAGCAAACGAATAATTAAAAAAGCGGCCCCTGAAGCCATGGCTCTGCGACACCTAAGCTTGCGAAATGTGTTCTTTAGTTACACGTAATAATTGGCCATGGGTGATTTGAAATCACCGTAAGCTCACTTGTATAAAGTTTTTTTGTAGCTCTAAGTCCGTCATGTTGGCCCGTCTTCTCCTTCGCGAGCATTTTCATATTTTAGGATTGTATTTTTTACCTCCCCTTGACAGTCGAACCATGCCACGACGAGCGTTTCCTTAATTTACGGATTCGAGATCTCCCTTTCAAGTTAGATCACCTCCAAGACCTGCCCTGTTATGTCCTCCCAGGGCATTTCCAGACAAATTTTGATGACAAGAGTGGATACCAACACCTCAAGATTCAACCGGACTCCCAGGAATTCTTCAGTTTTTCTTGGAGAGGCTATTATTTTGCTTTCTGCATCTTACCTTTCGGATGGAGAGCAAGTGTCTATTTATATCATAACGTTGGTCCTGTCGTCACCAGTACTGCGCGATCTTTGGGCTCACCTGTTTCGCAGTATATTGATGACAGACATGTGGGCCAGTTGCCGGACAAAGAGTTCTCCACAGCCATCCACTTTTGTTAAATTCCTGTGTTTCATCTCCGATTCTGTATCGCAAGCCTTTTTAGTCCCAGTAGATAAAAAGGGAAAATTTAAAACATTGCGTGAAGAACTCTTGGGGTCATCTTTTGCGCCTGTTCTGGAGCTTGCATCGTTTCGCAGGAAAAGCACTATCAGTTAGTCTTGCAACCCGGCTTGTAAGCGGTATGTACGGGAGGTGTTCAAATCTATCAGCGCTGTTGCCAAGAATTCGAAGATTTCTGTTCCAATTCAAGGACCTTTGCGACAGGAACTTCGGGAATGGACTTTCTTGGACAACTGGTCTGGTCACTTACCTTGGCAGTCGGAACATCATCTCTCTGTCACAATGTTCAGCGACGTCTCCCAGATAGCCTGGGGAGCAGTCTTGATAAAAGACGGTCTAAGCCAGCAAATACGAGATTATTCGACAAGCTTGAAGGTGATATCAATGCCCTTGAGCCCAGGGCTTTATGTAATTAACACTTTGATCTCCTTTTTCTCTTCTATCAGAAACGCAAGAATCAATGTGTGGACAAACAACGTGACTCTCCCAGAAGTCTGGGAAAATGGCGGTTGTAGGAGTTCTCTAGTGAAGAAGGAATTAAAAAATATAGAAGAAATGTCTCGAGCTGAAAACTTTGCTTTGCATTTGAAATATGTCCCATCGAATGAAGACAGTGCTGACGCGCCCTCCCGTACCTTGTTTGACTTGGATTGTTTCTTGTCAGACGAGGCGTGGGCCTGAGTTTCAAGCGAGGTTTGGACCACAGACGTTTAACTTGATGTCTTTGGACAGCAACTGTCGCAGAGGAAGGGATAGAAGACTGTTGCCTCATTACTCGCCTTAGCCGACTCCGTATTCTTCAGGAGTTAATGTTTTCGCACAAACGATACAGATAGAACATAATGTCTATGTCTTTCCTCCTGTCGTTCTCGTAGGACCTTTGTTGGGGGTATTTTTTTTTATATCAACGCCAATGTCTCGCTTTTACTGTCATTGTCCCTCGTTTACAACGGCATCGTTATTGATGGGTAATACTCCAAGCTATGGCAGTAGATTCTTTTCTTATTGGGAGGAAAGGTGATCCGGCCGTTCTGCTTTTCCCTTCCCGCACCTCCCCGGATTTCATTGCTAGGCCTTACCATGGGATCTGTGCGCTTTTCGTTGTATCTGCCCCTGATAAGCTGTGTATATAGATCGAACGAACATGGAAGCCTGCCTACAGATGTCTCGCCTGCTCTTATCCAAACGACAGTGACGCGAACTTTTGCCGAGGCTGCCGTAAACCTAAGTCGCGTGAGCCAACGCAAGGGGCCCGTTCAAATGCAGACATGCCTCTGATCAACTTGTAAACGCTTTACAGAATTCCAAGAATCGCTAAGAAACAAACGTTATGAACGGCAAAAGGATTCATTAGAAGTTCAGCTATCGAGTTTCTTACGCTCTCTTGTACCCCTAAAGAAATTTTCTGCTGCGACCGCGAAGGACATCGTAAAGTTTTTGATTAAAACGGATGCCGCCGGAAAACAAAAACTCTATGTATGCTCATGCTCTAGTAAGACCTGTAGTTGCCCCAAGCGTCTAGCGGCCGGAACTGTCGATTCATATATAGGGAAGCTTAGAGCGATTTTCAATAGGTTAGGCTGTACAGGGTTTTCTAACCCATTGGCACATCCTTGTGCTAAAGAATATGTTATGTTTGTAAGAGTGAAGCAAGCTCAGCGACCTTTGTAACCTCGTCAGGCTGTCCCTTTGTTCTATGACAAATTCACCCGTTTAATTGCCCATCTTCGCGGGCTTATTGCCGAAGTTTCTGTGCTTACTCCTCTCAATAGATATCTCCTGGTCAGAGATATAACATTCTTTGTTACAGACTTTTACACCGGTGATAGAGCATCCGATTCGGGCCGTTTAAAGGTAGCAGATGAGCTTTTTCGCCTTTTTGACTCAAAAAGTATCTTAAGGCCGCTGGCATTAATGACGGAGAGACCCGTCACAGCTTTCGTGTAGGGATTTCATACACCCTTAAGGGTTTGGGTTGTACTCCGGAGCAGATTGCCCAGTACGTGGGTTGGCGGACCAAAGAAATTGCCTTGTACTACACGCGCCGCTCCAGTGCTTCTACTTCTATGCAGTTGATAGAACGGGTTACACTCAGTCTCACTTCTGCAGGTTCTCCGCCTGCCCTGCAACTCTTCGACCAGATAATTTGGTATAGTTGAATTGTATCTTTCATGACTTAGGGACATTCATTCTAGTACACTACGGTGATTATTTATGTCATTTCTATTGGAAATTAACTTGTTATTGGTTAATAACTGAATCTTTATTGAGTTATGGAGTATTGGGTGTTGAGTGTCGGGTATTGAAATTATAAGGTCGATGTGCTTTTTGGGGAAGGACGGAGACCTAGGTTATAGCAGACTGCCTCAGGGAATGGCAAGGGGCGGATCTTTCTCCAATAACTTAGTTTCACGATGTGTTAAGTGCTAAGTTTTCAATTTTACAATTGTCCTCAACTTAGTCTTTCTCGGGTCTCTTCCTGCCTGCTCAATGCTCAACATAGTACTACATCCTCACTGTTTACCACTTAACACATCGTAAAACTAAGTTATGGGAGAGAGATCCGCGGATTTTTGCGGAAAGAGGTAGGCGGCAAGAATAGATCGCGAGATATGAGGGGTTGTCAACCAACACTAGGGGAGGAGGGTGGGGCGAACCTTCATAAGTCGTCTCGGCGGTCGGAGCTGTGACACAGTGAAATCAAAGCCACGTAGTGTATTATATTTCTGAGGGGAGCCTGCAGTGCACTGATGCGTCCTTAAGCACGGCAGGGTATTTTACTAGTCGTTTCACGATGCGTCAATTAATTATTCAGTGAGAATAGTCTAGGGATGACAATTATGTGTTACGAGAGAACGATAAAAAGCCTGGTTGGTCTTTGAATACTAAGTCAGGGCACAAGCAGGAGTATTACAGACACTTAACGACTGATTTTTATCAAAGGTTTGAAAGTGTAGAGGATGTAAATTTAGCAAAGGAGAACATGCAGGCTTTCTTTTTTGTGCGGCATTTAACAAGAGAAGATTTCCCTAGCTTTAATTTAGGGGCCAATCTGGATGATTATATATTGCCTAGGTTGAATCTGATACCTAAAGTGCATAAGTTGACAGAAAAAGCTGGTGTGGCGATGGAACTTTTTTTGGGCACGCTTTTCCCCTCCAAAGTTACGAAATAATTTTGGTGTTCTTTTCGTATTTCCTATGGTTTTCAGTAAGGATGATAATGAAGTTTACACCGTAGAGAAAGTATTAAGGAGAGCAGGGGCAGGCCTGCCTTTATTCATCTCCTTTTTTTAATTTCTGGCAAGTAAACACAAAATTAAAGAATTTGCTTTGTACAAGAAGGCTTTTACAAGAAAAATGGAAAGATGTTATAATTGATTAATTGCAGTTTGGTAAAATAAATCCACATTATGATATTGTCTTTGGAGGTTGATTAACACACGTTACAAAAAAAATCAATCAGTATTACATCCATGATATCCCGCAAGGAAACACCCCTTAGTGAATTTACAAGCATCCTTTCCAGGAACACTTGTCGCACAAGTACAATGGCCTTCTACAGGAATCCAAAGTGAGAAACAATTTCCTGACAGAACTAGCGCACAGCGGGCAGTTTCTAAGAAGGACATGGTTACCGTCTACCAGAATAGCCCGGAATATTTCACTATGCCTCTGATGAGAATGACAGACCTTCTTAACAGACTATAACCTTAAATTACCATCAGTGTATGTTCCTGTTAACATTAGTGAGCTCACTAGAACTTAACAACAATGTACCATAGCTATTTCTCAACTTAGTTCTTGTAACGTTGCTAAATGAGTATTTACTACATCCTAAATGCTATAAATTTATATTTAAAAAAATCGAACCTATTTGTGGCTATTTGTCCCGCAGCTACACGTAGTTTACGCTCAATGGACTAATGTGTGGTTATTTAACTACAGTGGTGTGGTTATTGAACTGTTCTGTAGTTATTGAACTAACGAAAAAGCTTACATTGAATCCATAAGCTGGGCTATTCTGGTATATGGCAGCCATGTCCTTCCCAGAAACTGCCCTCTGTGCGCCAGTTCTTTCAGACCATTGCCTCATGCTTTGATTTTCTGTAGAAGAGCATTGCACTTGTGCCACAGGTATCCTTTTACGTTGCTTGTGAAATCAGTTAGTGCTGTATCCGAGCGGGATATCATGGTTGTAAAACTCTGACTGTTTTATTTGTGTGTGTTTTGCAGTTTTTTTTTGTTGCTGTTATTGTTTTCGTTTGGTTTTTGTTTTGTTTTGTTTTTTTGTTTGGTTGTTTGTATGTTGTTGTTTTTGTGTTGTGTTTGGCTTAGGCCAACTTCTCTAACATCCCTTTAGGTTCTTGTAAAATACTAATAAATATTAATTAATTGATTGACACCTTTTGCCTTTACTAACATAGAAATATTTAAATAACACGGTGCTGTTAATAGTTTAGCTGTAATTTAGTTTCCTTATTTTGTTCTATGTCTCCTTCTTCGGTGAAAAGAACCGAACTTATAAAGACAAATTTCCCACTGCCGTTCCTTAAAGACAAACATAACACTTGGACACATGGATTACTGTGGCGTATCTCCTTGTGCACGAAAGTGCCCGGCGGCTGCCGGTTACAGTTTGAACAAATTGCGCGTGATGTGCAATGTCGTAAGCCCTCGAGTAAAGACGACATAATGCGGTCGTCCTGATTCTGCTGTTATTCAAACTGCGATAAATTTGACCTGTTTGTAACTGTTTTTATTCGTTTCGAAAAGAAAACTGTTGCTACCGTTCCAAAGCATCTCCTTTGTTGTTTTAATCTGTTACGTGTAGACCTTGTCCTTTGTTAAAACCTTTTCGATATGGACAGGAAAAGGGGCAGCTACCTTTCAAGTTAAAACAGGCGGGGATGTTGGAAGTTTCTGGACTTATTGAGATACCAAATAACTATACTGGTGTTAGTCGATTTAGGCACGTAGGATCAGTTCGCAAAAGTCTCAAATATATCCCATTTTCTTGGTAATTTTTGTTGTAAATTAACATTGCAGTCACTAATATTTTTACTGGTTTTGTTGTAGCCAGTAGAAGGAATCATACGAGCGACAAATACGTTTGCATCTGCCAAAATTAAGTCATCATCCCTTAGGTTGAAACGCCATCAAAATACTTGTTAAAATTCATGTCGAATGATATTTTTCGGTCAGTCTTAATCTGTTTTACTCGTGTGAAATATAAAAGACGTTTATACTAGTTTTCAAACTATAATAGGCAAAATCCGTTTACCACTAACAGGATTCATGAGCACTTTCTAGTCTCCTGCTCCAATATTATAATATTTCAACAATGAACGAAGAAGGGTATCTTACATGTGGCCGAGTAGAAGGAACTAAAAGCAACTAACAGTTTAACTGTGCTATTTCGCTCAATCTGAATCTTAGCAAAATAATATTTTTAATCTTGTTATTCGAAATTGGTAAATAATAGAAAAAAAGACTTTGTAAGGTGTACTACCCACATCTGTTCGTGTTGCACTGCTGGTGTAACCATCTGGCTTTATGTACCTTGTATGCTACCCGCGAAGTGAAGGTTACCCGTACGGAAACTTATATAGGTGGCTGCTTGCGCATACTAGTGTTGTAGTCTCGACAATAAACAACAGACAATATAAAAAAACACAAACTTACAAGTATTGTAGCTCAGATAGATTGGAAAATATCCCAGGGGGAAGCTGTTTAATTTTGTTGTTGTGCAGAAATCTGCGAGAATAAGGTTAATTATTTTAACTGCGTATCTCATGACAACAACAATCAGTCAAAAAAACCTCATCATTGTCTATTTTCGTCCTTATCGTAGTTGCTTATTACTACAGTACTGACCTCTGTATGTACTGGTAACTTTACATGCGTGTAATGAAAGCTGGTCTTCTTCTTTTTCTTTTGTTTTCGCAAAATGAAACTATGCTTTAGACACTATTTTGCTCTATTTTGCACCTACTCCCATTAGTTTTTGCCCCCCCCCCGCCGGCAAGCTAACGTTGTTCAATTTTAGATTTAAATAACGACCAACAAGATTCATTTTTTTAATTAGCATAAGTCCATGGTTTGTACTATTTTATTGATTAATTAAAACTAGGAAATGCTTTTAAAGGACAGATTCAACAAATTCCCGTTTTATGAAAACAATAATTAAAAAAAGCTTTGAGAACAGGACGATCCAACTAAATTGAATTGTAAAATGAATTGTTTGTGTTTTGCAACCATTATCCAATCGCTCAATCT